CTGTGGACGGGGCAGACCAGCCACTCTCCCTAGCCTGTATCTTCCGTGCTGTCCTGTGTAATACAGTTTTCTAGGGAGTGGGTTCACATAGCTCAGATTGGGACCAGTCCCGAAGTTGAAGAGGCTAATTTTATTTATTTAAAAAAACAAACTCACTGCCATTGGGTCAATGCTGACTCAATGCGACCTCCTGGAGTTTCCAAACACTGCAACTGTTTACAGGAGTAGAAAGCCCGTATCTTTCTCCCTTAGAGCTGATGGTGGTTTCGAACTGCCGATGACAGGGATCGCAGCCCAACATGGAACCAAAGCACTACCAGGACACCTGCTATATACTTAAAAAATTCACTTATTACATTTTTCATTCAATATTTTATTTTGACTTAATAGTTTGCAGATGAATTCTTGATAATTTAAAGCAGGGGTTCACAAACTTTTTAAACAGGGAGCCAGTTCACTTCCCTCAGACCCGTTGAAAGACCAGACCATAGTTTAAAAAAAAAACTATGAAAAAATTCCTATGCACACTGAACATATCTTATTTTGAAGTAAAAAAAACAAACGGGGCAAACAAAAACACCCAGCGGGCCAGATAAATGTCCTCGGCGGGCCCACATGCCATACTTTGAGGACCCCTGATTTAAAGTGGCTCAAAGACACCCAGATAGTACTCTAGGTCTACAACCTCAATCAAATCATCTCTTATTTGTTTCAAATGCCAACCTTTTACAATATGACTTAAACTGAGAATGAGAAAGGGGAGAAAACTGCTAATTCTATTAAAACAACTAGACAAAACATGGTAGGGGTATATAAAGAAGCCAAGTGAGCTCATAGAGAGGGAAGAGATAATCTGCAGGGCATCTTTAACATAAATAATTGGCAAGGGAAATCAGTAAATTATGGAAACATATTCCATTCCAGAGCAAATGTAACTTAATAGGGTTAGCCAGCTTCCAATATTCAACTCATTTAGGACTCAGCCCCTTTCTAAAACTATACATTAGAATATTAAGTTAAAAAAAATCTAAAGTTAAGTGTTCACTTGAAGTTAATATCAAAGTTTAATTTATAATCACTATTTAGGTTTTAGGGCCTCTGGTGAAGTAGGTATGCAATGGACTGCTAACCAAGAGATCAGCAGTTTAAAGCAACCAGCCACAGAAAGACAGGGTTTTCTGTTAGAGCTGCAGTCTCAGGAACTCACAGGGGCAGTTCCCATAGAGTCACTATGAGTCAGCATCAACTAGATGGTGTTGAGGTTTTTTAATTTAGGTTTTGCGTTCTTAAAAAAAAAAAAAAAAATCATTGCTATTGATTCTGACTCGAAGTGCCCCTGTAAGTTTCCGAGACTAACTTCTTAGGGCAGTAGTAATTCCACTCTTTCTCCCTCAGACAGGCTGGTGGTTTGAAATTGCTGAGCAGGGCTCCTGTATAAAATATTAAAGAGGAAGGAAATTATTATAAAATGCTTGTTGTCACATGTGATACAAATCGGTGGTGAGGA